CTTTTATAATAAGAACCCCGAATAGCCAGAACCGCTCTAGAATCTCTTTTATTAGTTAGACTATATTAAGAATAATATATTACTAGAACTATATAATATAAACGGAAATTCTTTAAAGTTATATATAAAAGGCCCTAGTCTTTAATATATAACCTATAACTTGGAAATTTAATAAGAACTTTTAAAGCTCGAGAATAAGCTTATTTTAAAAGAGAGAAGTAATATTATAGTTATTATAATATATAATACTAGTAAGAATTAGGCTAAAGCTAGAAAGATATCTAGTATCTAAGAAAGATATCTATAATTACCTAATTATTATATATAACCTCGAGCTTAAGCTAGTATATAGGCCTATATATAGCTTATAATTATTTAGATCCGAGACTTCTTTAAGACTTTCTTCTTTTTTTAGCTTTAAATTATTGAAATAGAAATAGCCTAACTATATTTTTTAGGCTCTAGATCTTATATTTATAATATCTAAGGCTTTTCTTTTTAGTTTAATATTCGAAAAGTTAACTAGTAAAAGTAATAGTTATTACTAGAGACTTTTTATAAGCGAGCTATTATAGATATAGACTATAATTAGAGTATTTAAAGTTATATTCTATATTAGCTAGTATTATATTATATAGGTTTTTAGTTTATATTAATATATAATATTTAAAGAATAATAGGTAAATAAACTATAAATTATACTATTTATAGTTATTAATATAGCTCATAGAAGTCCTATTCTCGATTTAATATATATATTATTTCTTATTTATAGAATTAGAAGAATTACTAATAAGAAGTAAAGGAAACTAGATAGCTATATATATATATATATTTCCTTAATTACTAAAGATTAAATTAGATAAAGCTATAATTATAAATATAGTAATTTAGAAGCTAGAATAAAGAGCTTATTATTTATATATTATTAATCTTATAATTATAAAATAAGAAATTAAAATATTAAAATATAAACTAGTTTATATCTTTTTACTAAATTCAGAGATTAGTAGTATTTAGAATTAGAGTAGCTTTTATTTTCTTAATAGCCTACTTTAATAATATAACTTTAAAAAGTATTTAATATAGAGAAATATTATTCTTTATTATATAGTTTATAATATAATAAATAAAATAAAAAGCTTTTATTATAGTTAGAATCTAGAAGATATCTTAATTAGAATAAATATAACTTATAATTACTAGATTTCACGAGTTAATCTAATTATAATTCCGAGCCAAGTAAATTATATCTAATTTATTAATTATAAAAATAGAAATAAGGCTCTAGAATATACTAAATTTATAGGTATCTTTATTTGGCTCTTTTTAATAATACTTAAAGCAAGTAATATTATAATTTTGGAAATGAATTTATTTCTTATAAATAATAATATTACTATTAATTAATAGCCTAATATAAAATTTATAGTTAGTCTCTAAATTCTTTATAGAAAATAGTATATTTGTAGTATTTGGTTTAGAATAATTAGTAATATCTAAGTTTATATTTTATATAATAATAGTTTCTAGATAATATATTATTCGAATAATAAAATAGCTATTTTAGAGAAACTAATTTCGTAAAATAATAAAAATAAGATTACTAGTAAATTAGACGAGTATATAGAAATATAGTATTTTATAGCTATTAGTCTTAATAATCCTAAAATAGTTTATAACTTGCTTAAGAATTTCTATTTAACTAGTACTATTATCTAGAAAGCTATTAAAGATACTTTTATAAATATAATAAAAGAACTATATAACTATAACCGGATTTAATATTACTATTACCCGATAAATTACTATAATAGTAGCCGGGAGGGCGTTTTAAGAATATTCTATACTAGCTAAATATAGAATTAGGGGATTTCATAAATCTAAGAAATTAATAATTATTTAAAATACTAGTATCTTATAATATATAATTAGTTTTCTAATTTCGGAATATATTTTTAGTTTCTAGAAAAAAGACTCCGAAACCTATATACTAATAATAATAATATTTTATTATAATTACTAAATAATAGAGTTATTAATAATCCGGTATTTAATAACTATTTTTATAATATTATCTAATTAATTAATAGTTAAAGATATTATATTCTTAGTAATTAATTTCTAGTTTTTATATTTTATAAATATAATATATATAATAGAAGAACTTTAGAGCTATAAGTAGTTATAAAAGAAATATATAAAGGTATTATAATAAGTAAATTTATAACTATTAATTAAGCCTTATATAAAGTTATAGAAATTATATACTTTCTATTATAGTAATTTAATACCTATTTAATAAAGGCTTTAAGTAATACTAGAACCGTTCTCTAGTTCAAGTAGCTTCCTAGGCTAGTAGGAAATAGAGTTAAAAAAGCGGCTATAAAGTAATAAAAGTCTTCCTAACTATTTACTAGTATAGCTTAATTATATATAATATACGAGATTATTAGTATTTTTCTTTATATATATAAATATTTATTTATAAAATTATCTTTAGTTAACTCTCTCTTTTTTAGTTAGTACTAGCTACTAGTTATAATACCTAGAAAGATATCTATTATTTATTTATTTAGATCTTAATATTTTCTATTTATATTTATATAAATAAAGCTAGTTAATAAAACTTTATTATTATTAGTATTAAGGCCTTTATTTTAGGCCGCTTAAAGGTTATTCTTATAGTTACTAACTTATAGCTTAACTATATATCTCTTATATTTATAGTAATTTAGGCTCCTAAGACAAATAATATTATTACGGATTTTAAATAAAATAAAGTTATTATTTCAAGTATTTATTATTTAGTAATTAATAATAAGATTATAATATAGATAGTTATACTAGACTAGATATTATAAAGCTACTAGAACCTTATTCTTCTAAACTTATAGGAATAGCTTAAAATTTATATTTGCTGAAATATAATTCCCTAGCCAGAAAACCTTAATAAGGTTATCTAGTTTTAGTTTAGGACTAGATAGGATCTAGAGAAGCTATTCCGGGTTTTATAGGATAATAATAATATAGCCTTATAGTACTTTATAATTAATTAGAAATAAATGCCTTTTTGACTACATTTTAATAATAGTACTAATTAGATAATATTTCGTAATAAGATATTCCTTAACTAGTATAAGATTATCTAATATAACCGGATAATACTAGTATATAATAATATTAACGAGGTTTTTTGCCGAGAACTTAGGAATAGTACCGAGACTAAGAGCTATATAATATTTGAAATAAAAATCCTATATATTCCTGTATTGGCCGCAGATATCGAGGCTATCTTATAAAGATTACACGAAATTGTCCTTATTATAGATTTTATAGATATCTATAATAGGGACGAGCTTGCTATAAGAATAGTATATAGATCTCTTAGATATGGCTAATATTTCATGCTTATATTTACTAATAGAAGTTCGAATATATAACAAGGAAATCTCTTGAGGAAATATATCTAATATAGTCTCTTAGAGCTTAAACTCGTCTTTTAGAAAGTTTAAAGTAACTCTAATAGCTTCTTATAGTAGTATATTAAACTCTGTCTTTATCTAGGTACGGATCTTTAGAGAGCAAGGCGGAGCAGGATTTACAGATAAAGAATGGTTTATATGTGGAAGCTTTCTTTTATTTAGTAGAATTATTAGTAAAGGCGGGATGGAGTTCCGAAAGGCTAATGACTGTTGGGATATGCTTGTTTCTAAGCATGCTTCCGAGATTCCAGAATGATCCTTGGAACTGGGGAGTAATGGGAGGCCTCCGTGGCCTAGAGGCTTTATTTGCCCTATAGAATTTAGGAATGGATCAAAGGCAGATGGTAATGCAGGAGGGCCTTCCCGCTCGTTTGATCTAAAGTCCTGGAAATGGTGTCGCCGAGTCTCCGCCGGGAATGCTTCTGAGGCGGCCGCTGGAGCCGTAGCATATTCTGCCACTCTTGGTCTCCTGGTTAGGAGTTCTGTAGATTGTTCTTCTGGTAGAGAGTTTAGACGCAGGTCAAAGGCCGGCGAGAGCAGAGGGGCAACCTTGTGAGAGCTGGGATCGTCTTCTCTCAATCTGGCGCATCCTCGTCCCTAATACCACGTCCGGTCGTCGCAGGCGGTATGCCGCCGCCCAAACGCGGCGTCTTTCCTGTGGCGCATATTAGCAGGGCCAGAAAGAAAGGCCGCGACCGCGGGAGACACACTTTACAGGAGATGCAGGTCTGCTGGCGTGTACTATCCCTCCTGATCCCGAATTTATCAAATGACTGAGCCCCCTTTGAGCCGCATCCTTGATTACCGCACCTGAATAGGGAAGAATGCATAATATTTTACGGTTGGAGGACGTTTCTATGATTAAGCCTATGCATAAGGAAAGAAGGAAGCCACTTGAGCCATGGGGCGTTTTAAGGAAGGGTGCTCCATTCGAATTAAAGAGCAAGGTACAGGAATACCAAGGTCCTTTGCCGGTGCTAAAGATACCGTAATGTAACCTGCCGATTAAGGTTTCGTTTGTTAGTCTTCGTAATATGCGGGGAAGAAGTATACTTTATCTTGGGCTCTAGTATGGGAGGATGATCCTAGGAGAACTAAGGCTCTAGTAATCGATGAAGCAGGCTTACGCTAGTGGGAGGATTGCGGATCAGACCAGAGTAAAATTCCAAGTTTCCTCGTAAGGATCCCTCTGCGCCCGTATATTGACAGGCCATTGAGGCGTCGTTGCCTGTCAGAAGATATGAAGACAGCGAGTCTCATGATCGAAGAAGGGTTATCGTTAATTAGGATTATTAGCTCTACTTATTGAAGAGCTTTATAGCATGTCTACAAAATAAATAGACAATATTGCGAAGACTCTGTAATGGAGAAGCGTATGAGACGCTTCCATAGGTTAACCGCTTATCCAGCTAATGAGAACCCGTGTTGCCAACACCCAATACTATCCCCCCTAAACAATTATGGGTGGGTCCAATATTCGCCACTATCTCCACACACATCACTCCACTAAAGGCACGCAATTAAGTCTTCACCGCTTTCCTATTCAATTTGAAGCTATTCCCACTTTCTTCTCTACTTTACAGCTCAGTACTTTGTAGGCCCGCCGTGAGCTTCCTTCACAGCCTCACAGCGTCTCCACCAGCTATTATAAAGGCCTTGAACGTACTCATCTGGCACAGCGTCCCACGCATCTTGTACAATCCTCCGGAGTTGATCAAAGTGGATCTTAGCTGGATCGTAACGCGCTTCCCAGTAGTGCTCCTCCATCCAATTCTTTATCCAATTCCATACGTGCTCAATAAGGTTCAAGTCTGGGGAGTACGGAGGTGCTTTGATCGTTGGAATATGACGAAGGAGTAGGTTCAACTTTGTCTCATATAATCGGTGAGAGGAAGCATTATCTTGCCAGAACCTATACCCCTCAAGTGGGTGGTCTCGGAAGAACTATTCGATTCTCGAGAGGATCCTGCGATCGTATCGTTCAGAGTTAATCGTTCCCCAGCTCTTCTCCCAAAATAAGCAAGGGCCTTTCTTCCCATCAACTATACTCCCCCAGAACATCCACGCAGGGAGCTTAGAATACTTGTGTCTCACACACTCTGGAAGGAGACGATCGCTTCCATCTTGTAAGCAAGTAATATACGAGTTCGTATGAGCTCCACCAAATGCCCACACTTCGTCTGTGAAGCAGATCCTCTGTACACGTGATCGTGGCCATATGCTTCCCTCCTCTGCTAAGTCTAGCCTCTCCTGGCACACAGCAGGGTCGTCTGAGAACCCCTTCTTCCGTGAAACACGGCGGCAGTAACCAATATCCTGAATAGCTATACGAATAGCTTGCTCCTTAGCGTAGAGCTGTGGAAGGAAGTGAGGGATCTTGTGATATGCCACGTGACGGTGAGAAGGAGAGGAAAGGAGCCACTCCTTAAGCGTCGTCTTTTCAGGAGTATGGAGCTTTGCATACCTCCCTGTCTTACTCTTTTGAGGAGTAAGGCGGTGGTTCTTTGCATAGTAGATTTGGCTGTCTGTAACGTCTAGTGTCTCCTTAATTTGGGCCCGTGGTATCTTAAAAAGGAGGGCTATTTGGATCTGGAGACGCTTATCACGTGTATACTCTATGTACGAGGGATTATACTGCGAGCGCGAGCGCGAGCGTTGAGGTTGAGAGGACTCTGCTTGAGAGTCTGGGACAAAGAGAGGAGGAGATGGTATAGACTCATTAAGAAGAGAGTCTGGGAGTAGTTGAGAGTCTGGGAGAAGGTCACGTGAATCCCAGGACTGCGTAGTCTGCTGTGATTCGTTGATTTGAGGCCTAGGGCCATTGCGGGAGTCCCACGACTGCGTAGTTTGCTGAGACTCAGGGATCTCAAGAGGAGAGCGTGGCTGCGCAGACAGTGGAGTCTCTGCGTCATAAAGGTTACTGTAATAAGGCGGTGGCGTAGTGAAGCGTGGATCTTGAGAGTCCATTGAAAATTGAGGATATAAGGAAGTAAAGCATAGCCAGTGGAAGCTGCGATTTCTGCCATACTTATGGTGCAGCTGCGTACGCGAGCTGGAAGGTTCTACGCGCTCTGATTGGCTGAAAATGGGGTGAGGTGTGGTGTGAGTGAAGCATGAGAGTGTGGCGAATATTGGACCCACCCATAATTGTTTGGGGGGGGATAGTACTAGGGGCATTAAGTCTGTGATCACGTAGATACACACTATGCAAACCAACCTATTCGGGCAATACTGGCACGAATGAGGGCGAGCCGCTGGCCACCAAATTCGGACGCTCACAGTAGCTAGTCAGCATCAGGCTTGGCTTCCCAGATTCTTGGTGCAAAACCCCGCATTTTGGGGCCCCTGTCCTCGCACGCTGGTTAGTTATCCCTTTTACTTCGTTTCAGGGCACACTTCGTTTCAGGGCAAGGATGAACCCCCTCATTATTCTTCTTAACTCCTTCGCGCTACGTCTTGTATCTAGAATCAACACAAACATTAACTCAAACCCTCACAATTAGTGCAAACAGATAGCTAGAGTGTGTTTCGTGACGCGTAATTGAGACGCGTGACTCACCATGATAGAACATTCTAGACTCTGTCTTGATCCTATTCAAGCTTCCATAAGGTGGCCTTTTGATGTTCCACTCCTGAGCTTCGCCAAGAGTGCTTTCTATACTAGCGTGCCCCACCCTTAATATGCTTATCTTCGCAGCCGCCTTGTAAGGGGCAGCTGTTTTAGGCGGGTAGGGCTGAGTTTCGATGGTTCGGATCCCTATTATCTAATATTATTAATTTGTCTATCTAGGCAATTATCTGGTCTGGGCAAGGCTTTTATTTGGATCTACTAAATCCGGTATTATAGTATAGTAGTATCTCTTGTATCCTTTTTAGGAAGACAAGTATAAGTCACCGACCTATTCTTCTTCTATTATCTTCTATAATCTTCTAAGGCCACATTATTATTTTCTTTAATTATTACTATTAGAATAATACTCCCTCAAGTTTAGGTAGCGGATAACTAATCCCTCATACCTCTTTTAAAACGCCTGTTCTAGTATAATCTTCTTATTACTTCACCTTTGCAACTAGTCTTATATATATTTACCTTGTCTGAGACCGGAGGAAGAAGGCCCAAAGCTACTATATATAAGGATTAGTATAAATAGCTCGTAATAGAAGTGCCAGAGGAACCTACTTCTCTCCTAATATTTACTTGCTTTCCAAGACTAGCTCCTGAGATTTAATTAAAGATCTGGTTCTTTATAGTTCTCGAATCTCGGATCTTAAAGCTAGAATTTCTTAATAATAGAGAGTAGTACTCGCCCATACTATATAGTAACATTATCCCGGCTAGTCTATATACCTGCCGTAAATCTTAATAAGAAGCTCTAAAGACGTATTAATAACTGAGTTTCGGGATATAAATTAACTTCTCGGTTAATATTATCTATATATAATTATTTCTGGATTATAATTAGACTAGTATCTAGTTCGAAAAAGAGTTTTTGGAACTATTATAGAGTAATCCGGTATTTAAAAAACTTTAATTTCTTGCCTTATAATAGAATATATAATACGAATTTATATTTATAAATAATTAATATATAGTTCTGGAATCTTTACCCGAACTTATAGAGCTAATTATTATCTCCGATAATAATGGCTTATTCCCAGATTAAGAAGGTAAAGGATTTAATTATTAGAATAAGGATAATAAGGTTATATTTAAGGATTTTCCCGAATATAGTATATTATCTAATAAGAAGAAAGTAAGACAGGATTCTGAGAGAGAATATAGGCCTCAAGCTAGCTAGATTATAGAAGATCTATATCTAGATAGGTATTACCTATTATATAATCTACTAGAATTCAAGTTCCGAATAGTTTAAAGATAATATATTAAATAATTTAGCTTAATTTAATTATTATCTCTAAATTAAATCAAATTAAGTCAAAATCTACTTAATTAAATTATAATTATTTATTTAGTCACGTGACCGTATATATATATTCGGAGATTAGAAAGTATAATAAGGCTAAAATAAGATTTAGGCTAGCTTATATCCGGTATTACTTTAGGTACTTTTTACTAAATCAGGTATTATATTACTTAGTAAATAAAGCAGAACGAGCTAAAGATATTAGAACTTACTTAATTTTCTAGTAATTTATTATTATTTTATAAATCTTATTATTATAAATAAAATAGCTAAAAATAAATCTTTTTATAAATAAATACTTTAAAATTAGGGGGCTATTACTAATCAGACGCTTATTAAAGAATCTTCTAGATTCTAGAGAATTTATATATAAATAAGTAATTTCTCTTAAATTACTTTTTTATTTTATTATTTTATATATAAATATCTTAATAATTATAGCTCTAATTAAGAAGCTTTTAACTATAAACCTATTTATATTTACTTGATATATTCGAAAATATCTCAATAATTTTCAATTAATCTTAATATTCTTTAAAATAAGAAGAATTTTAAGCTAGAACTACTTTTAAAATAAGCTTTTATTTTTAAGCTTAGCTATATAAGAAAGACTCTAGACCCTCTTAAAGCTAATCTAGAGGACCTTAATAACTATTAAATAATTACTATATTATACTTATTTAAGGGCTATAAATAAATAGTATATATTTTTAATTTAATTTAATTATAAAATAACTAATATATTTTTAGTAAAAAATTCACAAAATAAAGAATCGGAAAATTAATAAGTAATTATAAGAGCTATTATTTTAATAATTATAAGTTAGTTAATATAAATACTATATTAAAGAGTAATAAGCTTTATAAGTAATTAATATTAATTTATAAAATAATAATTAATAGTTTTTATAGCTACTTTTTAAGACTTAAATTAAATATCTATTACTAAATTATTTAGTAAAACTACTAGTTAAACTAGTAAAGGCTTTATTATGGTTTATTTTAAAAGATTATTATTAGACTTTACAATTAATAATAATATTTCTTTTAGAGCTATTATTATTCCGAGCTTTAAAAAGCTATTTTAATATTTAAATTAGTAAGTTTTATTTAAAAATTACTTTTATATTCTAAAGTACTTATAAATAAGCTTACTTTAAGATATAATAATAATAGTAATCTTATAAAAGAAGAATTATCAGATAATATTTTATTAAATAATACTTTTTCTATTACTTTAAATACTTAAATAGCTATAAATTAGAAGGCTTATTTAGGAATTACTATATGAGTTATTCTTATTAATAATAATTAATAAAAAATTTACTAATTTAATTTTTAAATATTTTATAAATAAAGATTTTAAATTAAAATCTTATTTATTAGCTATAAAAGATTTAAAAGATATTTATAGTAGTAAATATATGAATTCGATTCTATTAGAAGCTTTAAAAGCTTATAGTATTAAATATAATATTACTAGATAAATAATATAAATCTTGTTTTTTTAAAATAATTACTAATATATTTTATTTGGTATTACTCGAGATAATACTAGCTTAAATAATACCTTATTATAGGCTTTTATAAAGTATTATAATAAGAAAGGCATTAAATTTCAAGGAGATATTTCTTATATAGCTTATATATTAAACTTAGTAATTTAAGATATCTTAAAAGCTCTTATTAAGAATAATTATAATACTTCTTATTCTATAAATTTATATAAGTAAGAAAAGAACGAACTTAAAGAAAAAGAAAAAAGAAAAGAAGTAAAATAAATAATAAATAAGTTTCTCATATAATTTATAAAAGATTTATTAATTTGGAAAAAAGTTAGAAAGACTATTATAGGTCTTAAATATAATCAGGAAAATTAATAGCTATTAGAAGCTCAAATTAAAGCTTTTAATATAGAAAATACTCGGTTTTTTTAATTTAGTAAATAAATAAATAATTATTAATTAATATTAATTATTTATAGATTAAAAAATATAATAGTCTTCGACTTATTATATATTAAAAGACTTTTTATATATATATAAAGCTATTAAAATAATAATTAATGGCTCGAAATTAAAGGCTTTTAAAAATAAAAGTCTAGTTTTAACTAATATTAAAATTACTTATTTAAATAATATTTTAAATATAATTTTAATATTTATTAAGGCTATAACTAAATTATAAGCCAAAAACTATCCTATTATATATTATATTATACCTGAAATATATAAAATATATAATAAACTTAAAGATTTTAAAAGAGAATTTAAAATAAGTTTTCTTTTTTTATTTCTTATTATATTAATAAATATACTAATTTTAAATAGGATAAAACCTTCGAAAACGCTATTAATAAAGAAATAGCTAAGCTTCGAAAATATTATCCTAAAACCGGTATTTTAAATAATAAAAGTAAAGCTTTATATTTAGCTCTTATTTTTAATTCTCGAATTAAAAGAGCAGAACTAGCCGGAATTAAATTAGCTCCCGGAATGATATCTGATATATATAATAGGCTTGAAATAGATTATAATATATAAGTATATATTTTTATTTAATTTTTAAATTTTTAAATTACTAATTTTTATATAGGTATAAATAAGACTATTTAATAGCTAATTCTCAAGACTCTAGTTCTAATACGTTTATAGAAGATTTTAATAAAAACGAACTTAATATTTATATAAATAATTAAGAGGATATAATAGAAAACGAATTAATAATATATTTAATAGTTGGACTTAATATTGCGACTAAAGGGGCCCAACCCTTTAGTCGGGGAAAGCGAGTTGTCCCGGGAAAGCGAGATGTCCCGTACCAAATAAAATCCTTAATAACTTGAAACCTTAACCTTTTTAAATAATTCTAAGTAATAGAATTAAAAATATAAGCCTTATAAACGAAATGCAATTCTTTAAATCTTAAAAAAAGATGTGGGTAGAAAGTTATTAAGGTTTTAATAATAAAATCGCGAGGAATACAAAAATCATAAGAATTATTTATTTGCGACCGTTTCGCGAGTATTAAACCTACGACTTTTGCTTA